AAAAAAAAAAAAAAAAAAGGTAAAGTCAGGTCTTTTTATTCTTTTACTAAAAGAGGGCCCCCTAAATCCTTAACTTTAAGCCTCACAAAACCTAGCTCTGCTCCTGGGTATTGGCTTCATTTACTTCTGACAAGTTCGTTCACAGTATAAAGGGAGAGGGGAGAACTGTTTGAAGACCCAGACATGAATTTGTGTGTTTCTTCTTTTCAGAGATAATCAAACAGCGACTTATTTACCCAAAAGGACTTAAACGGTCATGGTCATCGATCATTGCATTTATCCAGACAAAGCCTGCTTTGTTACAAGATTGCACTGTTCCATCTCGGGTTGCTTTAGTTTGTCTTAGGGACCCATAGGGAAAAAATTACTAATGTGGAAGGCAAAACCACGGACGGTGACGCTTGTGAGGAAACAATCTTACTCTCCCTACCATGGAAATAAATGAATCCGAATGAAACAAAATCACACCTTTATAAGAAACCATGAAGTTATTATTATTATTATAATACCGGACATGGCTTCCCAATTAAAGGAAATGGGAATGTAACTCAATAATCCCTCAAAGGGTTTTTTTTTTTATTTATTTTTTTTTAAAGCACTTCATACAAAGCTGGGCATTAAAAATGCAAATTGTAGACTCAGGCACATGGTTCATCAAAGGTAAGTGCCAGCATCAGCAAGCATGGGGGGTGTGTATGTGAGACTGGAGCCCCATTCCTCAGGGGTATTACTGCACCACCTCCCTCAACCACTGTACACATCGTATCATACCTCTCATGCCACCAGCTCCCTGGGCTTTTTCCTTCAAGGATGATCCAGGCAGGCACTTCCCACCATCAGTGGCATTTCTTGCCCCATGCAAGGGTCACAGGGCTCATCTACAAGCAATAAAAGAAGAGATGATGCCCATTTTACTGACTGACTAGTTTCCAGGGTATTAAACATATGCTCAAGTGTTAGTACAGTTGCCATCATCTCTGCTTTTTATAGGAAAGCATCATTCTTGGTGTCCACATACAGATTTTCCCATATTTTAAAATAAGTACTCCTCTTCCAGCTCCCTAAGCAAGGGCTGTTTGACGGTCAGAATGACCAAGAGCCCTACTTGTGGGATCACAATGCAGATGCTGCCTTTGCTCTGTCTTTTTAATTTCACTCCATCTCATTCCCAAATGGATGTACAGTGGCTGAGAAAAATATGTCCAATAAGATTTATGATAGCTAAGTCAATCCATGCAAAAAGATAACAAGGTATAAGAGGAGACCACTGGGGAAGTTGTTACACAAGAATGCATGAGTCAAGCCCCACACCGTTACAAAGGTCAGCTACAAGTTCAGTGCTTCCTAGCAGCCACCACTAATGGAGAGCGAGGTCTCCTCCAACTCCTCCCTCCCCTTCTCCCCCCTTCTCTTTTCTCTTTCAGAGAAAAACAAGCAAAGATTTGGACAGAAATGTTTCAAACCCAATTTTACCATTATTATCATATGAGATATTCCAGGGCCTTGAATAAACGATTTTTATTTAGGGAAGTGATTCTAAGGGACTAAGAATTGGTGGAAATGATTCCAAGGCAGACAGACTAATTCCATGGCACTCATGTCCCTGCAGCCAGAGAAAGTGCCTCTGAGCAGACGGGTCCCAAGCAGACATCCAGAGCCTCCAAATGAAATCCTTAGCCAGGTACGAGGTGTGTTCTCACCAGCAGGATGATATCCTAAGCCTGAGAGACGGGGTCTTTCAGATCAACGCCATCATTCCCTCTAAAATAAGCCATCGCTGTCTCCTTCAGAGCAATAGGGACTCTCCACATTTTAAAATATCTATTTCAGGGAGAAAGGGTCCTGGATGGTGCAAATGGTTAACGTGCTTACTACTAACTGAAAGGTTGGAGGTTCAAGTTCACCCAGAGGCATCACGAAAGAAAGTCGTCACCATCTACTTCTAAAAAATCAGGCACTGAAAACCCTATGTCAGTTCAGCTCTGACACATACGGGATTGCCTTGAGTCAGAGTCAACTGGATGGCAACAGGCTGGATTTTTTGTTTGTTTGTTTTCATTTTTAGAGATGACTTACTCTGTTTTGTTTTTAACCCAGAAGAAAACCAAAAAAAAAAAAAAAACCAAACTCACTGCCATCAAATTGGATCCTGAAAATTTAAGTGTTAGCAAATTTTAATTCAAAAATTTAATATTAGACTCAATTCAACAAGTAATTAGGAAGGTAAACCCACTCGATGCCAGAAGGGAACAAACAGTGATGCACTCCACTGGTTTTAGGGTATCTGATCATTTGGACAATGCAAACTACTCCTTAACTTCCATGAACACGGGTAGTTAAGAGGTGATGGGTTGGTGAGGAAGGTATGGGGAGAAACAGTATCACAGCGTAGCCTGTTTAAATGATGTTAGCCTGTGTTTCAGGAACACAGAGATGGGTAATACTGGACACAGACTTGAAACTTTGGTGGGGTTCATGGTGTGGCTTGGAGCAGTATAAGGAGATACACTGGATAGTGAAATCGTATGCAGAGAGATAATGTGGGCTAGTGAGTGGGGCTTCCAGAGATGGCAATGAGCTAGAGCCTACTTGGTTACACATACTTAATCTCCTCTCCAGGATGGAATGGCACCCTGGACACTCAGCTGCTAACTAAAAGGTCAGTGGTTCAAACCCACCAGCCATTCTGCAGGAAAAAGATATGGCAGACTGCTTCCATAAAAACCCTATGGGGCAATTCTACTCTGTCCTTTAAGGTCACTATGAGTTGAAATCAACTCAACAGCAATGGGTTTTGGAGTTTAGTTTCCATGATGGAATAGAATTGTTGGCTGCTAGAGCTGTCAGTCCCAGCCGCCCTAGACCAGGGAGGACATGTTAGAAAAGAAGACTTTCTGGCCCTTGAGTTGAAGAAGGTAGGAAATGAACAGCTGTCTAGATACATGTTCCTAATCGGCTCCAAGCATGATGATTCAATCATAAGAGTACAGGGAAGGCAAAAGTGAACTCTGGTCTTGAAGAAAGAAGGCAAGAGAATCCTTGAAGGTTCCATGTGTGCTGCGAAGGGCCTGATTCAGGTTTCCCAACCTCGTCTCAGTAAGAATCCCCACAGCTGGCGAACCACACATTTGAACTAACATGTCTTGGCTTAGAATTAACCACTCTTTTTTTTTTTTTGCCAGATTCAGAAACACTGAATTTCCTATCAAAGGTTCTAGGAGAGTAATCCTTTGAGATAGACCTTCACCTAAGTGGTTTTCTTGCTTCTACAATGTGAATTTCTGGGTAAATTCCCACAGGGAGAGTCTCAAATTTCTTTCTAGAGTTCATCTGGGAAGCAGGCACTTGGGCGGATCTTCTACTTGCAGCTGAAAAGCTTTGTAGCTGCTGTTCCCTGACTCTGCAGACCAAGGGGTTGAGAATAACATCTGAGGGATGAGCTTTCACACCTCCCACCCCCATGCCACTTTCAGATTGTCCCTCCCCTCACTCAGCAGCATCTGAACACAGGCGGAGCTTCTCTTTTTCCCCATCCATGTCTCTAGTTCCATGTATCTGACTACATTTAAAAACAGAGCTAAATATTAATTAAGAAGTAACTGCGCTGAACATGAAACATCACTGATTCTCCTAAGACAGAAGTGGGGGGGGGGTATAGCATTAAACCGAATTACAGTGGCTTGAACACTGTGCTCAGTGAGCACCCTCCTGCTGCTGGACAAAGGTTTTAAGCAGGAGAGAGGTGACACAATGACACAACTTCAGGTGAGTGGACAGGGAGTTTGTATGGAGACAGGGAGGAGAAGGGAAGGGGCAAAGGTTTGTCATCCTCACTGCTTTTCTACCATTAGTGAAGCGACAGGCCCCTGTGTTTGGATGGAGGTGTCTGGTTGGGAGAAGCAGCTTACTTCTGTTCCCCTGACTGCTAGGACGGTGCAGAAATGCAACACGCTGTTGACAGGTCAAACTGCCTATTCTAGACAAGCCTGTCAAGGACTATGGTACAAGGCCCACTCAAAAGGAAATCTGAAATGGCATCCCATAGATCGGCCCATTCCAATGATTCAATGATGTATGTCTCCAGTGGCTTACGTAATAAAGAACGTCCTTCCGTAGAGAGAAAGGGAGCCCAGTGAGAACCTGCCTTCAGGGCTGCTACGTGTCTTAGCCTTGGACACAGAAGGAAACACAGTTATCCCAAGTCCCAACAGAAATTACAGGGCCCTGAAGGGAAACTGCTTGTCTCAGGAGAGGAAGAGCCACTCTCAGCTCTTCTACCTGATGAAGTGACAGAGTAGCAATGCCACTCCTGGGCAAGTTGCCTCCACCTCACAGATTCCTGGATATCCGTTTCTGTAAGGGTTCCTATCCCCAAGGGAGGAAATATGGTAGCTTTGGAGTGAGCTGATCTTTTGTTCTTTTTAAACTACAAACCTAAATGGTTCTCATAAAAAATAACCAAGACTTAGTTAGTTGTTTCCTTAGGAGCCCTAGTCCAATGGCTAAGTGCTTGGCTGCTA